CTATTCTATTCTATTCTATTCTATTCTATTCTATTCTATTCTATTCTATTCTATTCTATTCTATTCTATTCTATTCTATTCTATTCTAAATGTGTAGCAACTTAAAAGGATAAACAGTTCAATCTGTTTCTAATAGAATTTATTTTTAGTGGGGGTGATAGCTCTGATTTGGCTTTCTGTATGTCTTATGTTTGCCTTCTGCAAATAGTGAGGTCAAATTGTGTGAGTGTTACAGGAAGCCTATTTCTAACCTTACATACATGAGTACTTACATCAGTATTATTTTTATATATGGAAACAATATTGTACGAAGTGGACACTTGCTCTCAAGAATCATTTTAAAATCACATAAAACTGAAAATACTCAACGATTTTAAAAAAATGCAGTTTTATATTAGACATTGCATTAAAAAAACCAGCAATAGAAAGAAAAAGAAGCACTGACTCTGATGTTTTTAGACAAAAAGTTCTCTTGTGAAATACAAACAATATGTACAGGTTTCACTTCTCTTCCATCCAGCAGGCCTAAAAATACTGCCTATTTCTAGGAATTATGTACCTGTAACAGTAGCAAAATAGAGAAATTGCCATCTAGTGCACATATGAGCAGATAATTTTTGCCATGATGTCTACATTAAACATCTCAGTATTAGAGAATCTCCTGAATAACTTGTGCATAACTGCAAGTTATGCTTTTGTTGTTGTGTTGTTACTGCTAAGTGCATGTACATGTATTTTTTATTCTATGTTTTTAAACCGCTTTCAGTTCACCTTTAAACTACTGTTAGGGATTTTTCTTTTGTTCGCAATATACATAAAATACTCAAGAAAAAGAGTAGATTCTTTACTCAGATCAAAGGCAATATATACAAATTCCAAAAATTTAAAGGTGTATCATTTTGTGAAGAGTTTTGTCATAAAAGCAAGTTGAAAGAAGTAGGGATAAAGGACAGACAGAAAGCATTCTGGATAGAGTACCATTCACAAATAGCTAAGTAAGGTGTATGGAAAAGAGCATGTTGCTAATTAGAAAAATCTGACTCCTTTTGTTTGATACTTGCTGTGTTTTGAGAAGTCTGCACATTCTAGCTGCACAAAATGATCATATGCCTGCTTCAGTCTTACATTAATGTCCATATTAAGATAATACTCAAGGATAACTACATGGGCCAAAAAAAGGAGAATTGCATAGACAAAGGCTGTGTTAAGATGTTGTGGTAGTTTGGATAAGGATGATATGGTTTGAAGCTGGCTCCCTGCCAAGTCTCCAAACCTTACCAATGTTAAAATCTCAAAGTTGGATATTAAAACTGATAAAACTGTAAAATGAAAGGATATCCTTTAGTTACCCTTCATTATCTTCTGTGTGCATCTATTGGATGGTGTAGCCTTTAATGCAGGTATTCAACATTATTTTTCCTCCTATCCAGCACAGGATAGCTGATTTGAATTCATCATTCTTAGAGTTAATGAAGGCACAGTCTTTGGGCCATTTTCCCATTGTTGGAGAAATAGATACATAAGAGATAATAGAGAAATAATGCTAAGAGATGTAGACCATCTCCTCTGGTTTAAGCCTTTAAATGTCATCCTCAACAAGAGTTTCTCTTCTTTGACATGGAATTTCAAGTGGTCAGTGAATTAAGCCAAATTTTGGCTTGAACTAAATGTTTATAAATGCAATGAAGTCCATGAGTTCCTTTTTCTGAGCAAATGGTGGTATAAGGTGATGAACTTTCCAATAGCTTCTGAAGTTGCTTATAGAAGTCAAAGGGGTTTTTTTGGTGGGTTGGTCATTTGTTAGTTTTGTGTCTGTTTCTCCTTTTTGCACCTCTAGGTTTGAAACAATAACGTTTTACCAAATCCAGTGCTTTGAAGATTAATTCAATAATTAAATTATTTTATTTTGCTTGAAGGCCCTCACTTTCTGTTTCAGTCTCACCCTGTTCTGGTGCCCCCTGACTCTATGCAGGGGAAGGCAAAGGACCCTGAATGTCCTCTCTCCTTGGTGATAACCCAACCACTGCTCTGGAGAACCATTTCCCTCATCATCTCATCTGGTACTGGGGGAAAAAGAGTTTTTAATGATAATTCCAAGGCAGTTAGATAACTTTCACCCTTTAGAGGTGCCTGTTTCTCTCCATCACATGTAAAGTCAGCTTCCTTGGCAAGCCTGAAAGCTCTATACAGAACCTACTATGACAGCACTTTCAGGCTTTGCGGGTACATACCCATGAGAATAACAGCATAGGAGCAACAGGATAAAAAACACTATCTCACAAGTGCTAGGGTACGTTGCCATGGCAGCATGGGGCAAAGAGGGAAACCTGTGAGTGGTAAGTAGGCTGCAGGGTTGCAGGGAAAGACCTTTATCAAAACCAAAGTGCTCAGGGCCACACAGGTTCAAGTCTGTGTTCTGGTTAACTAACATGCATCAGTCTGTAAGGGAATGGGAAACACACGCTCCCTATTATTTCTTGAGCTATACAGTCTACAGTGAGCAAAAAGATGCATTTGCCTTTACAGCATTTCTTGGCATATTTCAGAGGAATGTATGCTTTTCCAGAGGTGGTGTTGACCTTTCTTCCATCCTTACTTTTTCTTTTTTTTTTCATAACAGAGCATAAGTTTAATGTGGTTATATTTTCCTAACAGAGCATAAGTTTAATGTGGTTATATTTTCCTGGTAGCTTCCCTGGCTCCTGAGAGCAGATGCATCCTATTTTTATATAAAAACACAGAATACTTTTTTCTTACAAGAGTACACGCAAGCTTGGAAGATCTGTGGTAAGGGCTGACTTCTCCGTTATTATGTTTTCTTCAGTTTTTATTTACATCTGACAGTGTTTCAAAACAGTACCACAAGACATAAATCTCACTGCAAGAGGATTGCTTTCTGGTTTTTTACAAATTCATTTGAGATACTGTCTGCTTCAAAAGGCTTTCAGTCTAAATAGAGAAGAGAAGCAGAGAACAAGGCAAAGAAGAAAAGCAGAGAAAGGTAGTGTGACCTCCTGGGCAGGCAGAGGGCTGAAGTCTGGTTCCAAGTGCAATAGATAATCCTACCTCTATTTAATTTTCTGATGTCTTCTTAAAGCCTGTAAAACACTTTGTTATGTTTTTGTAGACATCAAACAGTATTCGGAAAAGGGCATCATAAGAGTTGTTTAATTTCAGCGAGACTGCATATCAGCCTGTTGCTAGTCACTGAAAATTATGAGTGTTGGGTGGCTATTCAATAGCTGTCAGCTTCTGTCCAGCTGCCAATTAACACTTGGTGGCAGCCTCAGTGTGGGTGAAGAGTTAACAGATTCAGAGAAAGCAGTACTTCTTCGTGATCATTATTTTTAATCAAATCAAGAGCAGCATGTGATGACTGAAGCTACTGTACTCTTGGTCCACTAAATTAAGGAAAGATACTTCATTCAAGTGAACTCTGGTTTAGCTTCTGAAATTCTCACTGTAATTTCCAGGACCTGCTCTCATCAAAAGTAGCTAGTTTCTTTTTTTCCAGGTTGAGTACCTTACTTCTTGTCCCCTCTGAGCAATCTCCTGTTCCCTTCAAATTATTACTCAGAATATTTTAGATGCTTGAAATCTTATTTGTGATAGCAATTCAGGTTTGGTGTTTAAAAAAGTTATTTAGAAGTTTAGTTTATTTAGTGACAAGTGACTATTTCAAGAATAACTGGGTTGATATATACCTATTCTGGATGACAAAGGGAACATATGTGAAGAATGGATAGAGTAGGTCATATTACAAAGGACAATTTGTTGGGGTATTTTTAAATTGTACTTGGGCAAGGAAATTGTGAACCTGCATGTCAAACTAAACCCTGATCAAAACTGTAGATGTCCCCTAAAGAAAGAAGTGGTTTAGGAATGGAAATTGAACCTTATTGAAGGCTTCTCTAGATCAAATGCTTGTGCTTTTCTCTGCTAAAAAGTTGAGAAAAAAAAAGGTAGAGGTGTTCCTCTGCAATAAAATATGTTTTCATTTATTTTGATAGTTCATCCTTAGGCTGTTAGCCAGGAACAATCCTTCTTCAACCACCTGACTCAAGAAAGTCTTTTGTATCCCAAATGAAGGAACATGATGTATCATATTGTCTTTGGT